TACAGAAAAATTTAACTTATGTTGATCAAACTTTACACACAAGAATGTGACACTGCTAAGTACAGAAGCAGGTAAAATTGCAATCTAATAAAAAGCAACAGTCTCTGAGAATGGTTAAATAAATTTTAAATTCATATGTATTTGGGTTCAAAATGAACACCAGAAACATTTCAGAAATGTCAGTGATCCCCCAGCCATTAATTCCACAGGAAAAGAGGCAGTTGCTTATAACATTACATGCACACAGTAAACATTGAATGCTTCTGTTTCACAAGTATGACATTCTTCATTGCTTAATTCTCACTCAAGTCATACAATGTCTGTTCTGTTGTCAAGAGACCATTCTCTTACTTGTGTACACAAAAAGTAGTTAGAGAGGGACAATTGTGACCTTTAAGTGCTCCCAAATGCTCCATAACATACTCATATAAAATACTTAGCAACTTACCCAATTCCACTGTAATTTTTCATTAAAAAAGTATTACCAGTTTTCTAAGCCCTAGATAATTTTTATATAAACCTTTTCCATTTTCAGTTTTATCTTCTGTAAGTAAAAGTAATCCTCAAGAGATTAATCAATAGATCCTCAAAATACTTAATTTCTAGTAACAATTTAGGTTTCTGTTTTATGGTTAAAAATAATATTTCTGAAAATCAAACAGCATAAATTATTATAAAAGACAACACCTAACACCCTCAAAGAACAACTCTCAGTCACTTCTATCTGTGTCTAACCATATTTTCAAGCTGATGACTTTCAAGACACATGTCTCAACAAGTCTAAGATACTCTTCTCAACAAAATTCAGGAAGAGTTTTTCTAAACTAAGCTTTGCCATTGGTCTCACCGATACATGGTATAAATCTCCTAATCTGCATAAGGGATTTAAAGACAAAGTCACTCTGGTTTTAGGGATTTACCTTCAACTCTCCCCATAAAAGGCTGCCCAAATTTGATCATGCTACAAGCCTGAAGAGAACTGCAAAAAGAACCTTCTCAGCAAAGAAGGAAAAGAGATGGAGAGATCCAGTATCAAGAATTAGAACACAGAATGAAGCAGTGCAGAAAAGTGACAAGAAGGAAGAGGCATGAGCTGTAACTGAATTCACAGCAAGTCATCTACTCGTTACAAAACTCAGTTACTGAAGCCTTGTGTGATGTGAATTCAAATGAGACTGGCACTTGGGAAGCGGTATTTATACTGTTGAGTTAGACTAGCACAACAGTGACCATATCCAGCATTCTTTAATTGCTGCTTGAAGTGAGGTTTGGTGATGGTTATAATGTAAGGACATGTGTAGGAATTCATTAAGTGTTCCAAAGGAAGTTTTGATATATTTAGATTGTGTAGAGGTGGTACAAAACTGCCAGATTCTGAGAATATAGTAACAATGATGCTCTGACATTCTGTAGTCTTATAAAGGTCATATATCTAGAAGCCAGCTAAATAAGGATGACTTTAGTAATTTGTTTATTTTGCTGGAATTTCCTTCTCCATTTTAAAAATGGTAGTTACAAGAGTACTCCTCCCCAAAAAACTCTTACTATTTTAAATACAGAAACAATTCCCAGAGTTTCTCCAAAATCTGGAAATTTTGGAAACCCTATTCCACCGATATCTAGTTTCCAAACCCCACATTTCAAGAGGCACAAAACTGTGGCATTAAAAGGAAGTTCCCTTAGAAACTTAAAAAACCCCAACCAACCAACCAAAACAACACCAAAAAAACCCCCAAACCCCAAACAATAGTGGCCTTAAGTTTATGTTACTGTCCTAACTTCCTCTTAAGCACTTAGCGATCCCTTCTCAGCTCCATCCTGTGTTCTATAAATCTTATCTTTACAAAGAAAGCTTATTTGTAGTAATTTGGAATATTTTAAGAGCTCCAATCCATTTATTTTCAAAAGTGATGTAGGTATCCAATGCAGCTGAACTTGGAAAAAAAATTGTCTCCACCTAAAAACTTCTGTCAAACACAACAGCATTTTACCTGGGTAAGTGCAGTTACTCTGTTCTCACTAGGAAACAGTGGCGGATCTTCTCCAACTTGGAAATCAAAGTACACAGTTTTGTGTGTGAAAGTAGAGAACTCATTGCTGAAGCAGAATTTGTATGTTCCGTTTCTGGATGCAGTAAATGTGAAGCTATCATATTGTTTCTTCATCTCTTTGTACAATACAACACCATCAGGATCTTCCAGACGACAGTCAACATCGTAATGACCTCCAGTGATCACCTGAGAACACAAACCAAGATATGGTCTCTTTAGCAAAATGGATATTTATGCATTTCTTCTCAGAAGTATCATCTGTCAAGTGGCACTGCAAAGCTTTTTGCTTTGACAAGTGCTTTACCAATATAATGCATTAATCTGAAAAACTTTCAAAGCAAGTCTGCAAAATTATTTTCCTATGGAAGACACACAGAAAATAATAAAAAATGCTTTAGGTTCAGCATATGTAATGTCAACTGTATTTTCAAACCCTTCGGAGAGCAATTTTAGTTACTTTGTTATAAATAACTCAACAACAGCAAAGGCTACAGTAGATGAAGCTCAATGGGACTGCAAAGACATTACTGTAACAAGTCAATCATTTGCTGTATAAACAAGTCGTCCATGGAATCAGTTCATCTGTCTGAGACTGCTAACATGCAGTAAGACATTTCCTTTCTGTGTGGCCAGAAGAGTATCTGCCCAACTGTATCAGCTGCCTTAGGCTGCAGGAATGGCGTTCAACCAGTAAAACAAGAATTTCAATCTGTCCAGTCTTCCTGCCTGTTCCTCAACAGAGAAATGTTCTGGGGGTCCTGCTGCCTCCTTCCTGCACAGTTGGACACAGCAGTGCTTCCAAAAACCAGCACATCCAGATAATGCCTCCAAGTGACTCAAAACTTCACAGTCGCAAGGGTTTGTTTGAGGCTTTGATTATTGTTGGTGTACAGAGTATTGTTACCTGGATTCTACAGAAAGACTGTAGGGAGTTTAGGTATTCACAACTTGGTGTTCTGATGACTCTTACAGTAGCAGTTTTACACTTTATCCTTGCCACAAATTTTTACCTTTAAGATAAAGCATACTGAAAGAGGAAGAGACTTATATCTAAAGGCATATTCATTTTATATGTGTGCAGAAATCACTGAAATATTTTAGTATCTGTGTATATGCACTTCACTCCACTCCACTGAGCATTGTTTAAACTCTCATCAGTTTACTGAGCTACCAAGTTATTAAAATAACAACTTTAATGATACAATTGAAATAACAAATTGGAGCAGCAGCTCTTCCACAAAGATGAAGTTCTGAAAGTATCCAGTTGGCAAGCAATAACATAGCTCTTCATTTCAGAAATATAATCTCCAACTTGACCAGGGTGTGCTTTTTACCAATTACATGAAAGTCACTTGCATTCAGCTAGATCACCGTGAAAGTGTCAGTTTACATCGAGGTGGTAAAGACTGGCCAGAGCTTTGAAGTTGCCCTAGGATTCCTTCCCACAGAGCTTGCCTGTGCCTCCTGTCGGCCCTTAAGACACACTGCCAAAGGACATTCACACAGCACTTTAGTCTACCAGTGGCTGGTCAAATCCAGACTTTTCTTTTATCAATGCTACTCCTGTTCTGGGCTCCAAAAAAAAATGGCAAGAGCAGGCTGATCTGCACAGTGATATCCAATTCAAAACCGCAGGGAAAGTACTGCACATAAAAGACTTCATGGAAGAAACAAGCAGGGACAAGAAGCACTTGGGCAGGGAAAAAGATACCTAGGAGCTAGAACACATAAGACAGAGTACCAAGAACCAATATATGGCAGCAACTGAGAAAGAAAAAACCGCAGAACTTCAACAAGAACAATCAGCCTATAGAATCACACAGCCCCTTCAAAACCCCTCAAAGGTAACTGTGATTTCTGTCATCAAGGACTATTTTTCTCTCATGCTGCTGCTTTACTGTTAGTGACTTCATCAGCTAAAGTGCCAGACTGAAAGGCTCCAACCCCGCAGATACACTCACAGGCATCAAAACAGTGATGCTGTACCGCATCCTTGTCCCATCGCCCTTTTACTGTTTACTAAGTAACCCCAATCTGAACTGTGCTCTGAAATACGAAGCATCAGCTCTTAAGATGTACTGTGCTGATCCCGCCGGTGCCTCGTAAACCACAAGGGAATTACTTTCGCAGCACCTTGTGGGTCAGGTGTGCTTTAGGTATTCTCCGCGCTGTTGGGGCGGGACACGACACGGCAGCGACCAGGGCAGAGACACCGCCAGTGTTCAGAGCCAGCTCTGCGTGTCCCACTCAGCCCTGCACTACACTGAAGCCTCCTCGCCGCAGCTGAGCTGGAAACTCCTCATTGTATCCAAATAATCCCTAAATGCCGGAGCCGAGTGGGAGCTCCCGGCAGCGGGCCCTGCTCGGGGCCGCGCCCAGCGGGGCCAGCGCGGCGCCCGCGCCCGGGGCGGCGCCTCCCGGCCGGGTACCTGGAACTCGAGGGTGCACTTGGTGCCCTGGGCGATCTCCTCGTAGAAGCACTGCTTGGCGTTGTCGGGCAGCTCGAAGGTGATCTCGGAGGCCTGAGCCACGCAGGCCGCCAGCGCCGCCACCAGCAGCAAGGGCGGCAGCGGCCCCCGGGAGCCCCGCGGCGGCATCGCCTGACGAAGGGGGAGGCGAGGGGGGCGCGGAGGGGCGAGGGGGCTGCGGGGGCGGCCGGGGCTGCGGGGCTGCGGGCGGGACGCGGCGTGGCCGAGGGGCCCAGGCGGGACGCACAGCTGCCACCCGGAAGCGCCCGCGCGGCCGCGCCGCCTTCACGGAGCGGTTCCGGGATGTGCGGGCGTGTGTCCGGCGGGAAAGGGGCGGGAAAAAGGGCCGGCAAAAAGGGCCGGCAAAAAGGGCCGGCACGGCTCTGCCGTGTCGCAGCTGCCTGCTTGGTGCCTTCGCAGCGCGGCTGCCCGCGGGTTAAATTCTTCCGAGGGTCCCACCTGGAGCGACCTAAAGCTGGGAATCGTGGGCTCCGAGCGGCGGCGAAAAGCGGCCTCGGTGTCCTCCGAGAAGCGGAGTACAGAGGGAGGGATTTGGAGAATTCTGCTTCGCAGATCCTGAAACGTTCGGTGTTCCAGGGAGATAAAGCAGCCGTCAAAGTGCACACGCTGTCTTCAGCAGTATCCGCTTTCAAGTTCTAATCCAGTAAATAGAATCATAGAATAATAGAATGTTAAGGCATTGGAATGAATCTTAAAGATCATCTAGTCTCAACGCCCCCTGCCATGGGCAGAGACACCTCCCACTAGGCAAGGTTGCTCAAGGCCTTGTCCAACCTGGCCTCGAACACTGCCAGGGTTGGGGTATCTGCAACCTCCTGGGCAACCTGTTCCAGTGTCTCACAGTAAAAAATTTCTTCCTGATATCTAAACTAAACTTCCCCTCTTTCAATTTGTACCCTTTGTAACTTGTACTGTCACTACAGTTCCTGATGCATAGTCCCTCTCCAGCTTCCCTGTAAGCCCCCCTCAGATGCTGGAAGGTCTTCACACAACCTTCACTTTTCCAGCCTGGACAGACCCAACTTTCTCAGCCTTTCCCAGTTTACAGATTCACAAGAATAACACAAAAATAACCCTCATTACATTAACGTTAAGTTCTGTGGCAAATGAGGTGGACTAGGAAAAAGAAAATTTGGGTCCAATCTCCCAAGCAGGAGCCATGAGCTTGTAATCTGGAGTAGATCTGGAGTCCCATTTTGCTCCCCTGGAAAAGGAGTCTTATGTAAGCTTGTTAAACCTGTGATTTTCACCCTCAGCACTGCATAAGAAACCTGGGCATCAGTTTCAGGACTGTGGATTTCACAGGACAGAGGTACCCAAAATTCGTATGTTGAGGACTTGGATAGATATGCAGGTGTGGATTAAAGTGAGATGGGAGATGCTTTACCAAGGACCCAGCCCACCTCTGAAGCAGAGATTTTCCATCTACAGTTAATCCTCAGATGCTTGCTGCTTTCATTTAAACACACTGTTTTATTTTAGATTGCATTTGAGTGTTGGCTGATAGCTGGCACAGCTCAAAAGCAGATTATATCTAGGCCATACGATGCAGTTCCAGCCATTTTACTTAAATCAATGACTACAGGCTCATAGAACCTGTGTCACCTAATCACCTTCTCCTTCATATGGCAAGAAATACATTTCAGGAAGACTCGCTCTCTGATTTTTGACAGCAACTGAAACAATCCTGTACAGCTCACAGTTTCCTAGTTCATTCTTTCCAGCTATTTTAAAGCCTCATTAAATGGGCAAAATGAAGCTTATCTAAGAAATTACAATTGGAAACCTGTCACCAAACAAAAAAAAGAAGGAGAAAGATGCAGAGCAGGCAAGAAAGGTGTCTGGTGACACCTGTAAAATAAGCAAAAACCCAGACATCCCAACTCCCAAAATAAGTCAGCAAGAACAAATGAGATCACTTCCTTTTCTTTTGGGCTGGGCTCAGAGAGTATGAAACATAAACTGAGTGAAGAAAGCAACTACCTGCAAGAAGCTCTCAAGCCTGGTTATCCTTATCCTGGTGACCAAGGACCACCAAGGATGGAGCCGTCGGCACTCACTGCATGGCATCAACTCCACTGCATTGTGTACTTGCAGCTCATCTGGGATAGATTTTTTAAGGACTAAGGGGTTTGTATATGTAGTGACCATGATAGTAATTGAGAACTAGCTATTAGCAGCCTGAACTGCTTATGAACTTCAGTACTTGTTTCGCAGCTTGAAACTGGCTTGATTTGTTTATTTCTTGTACACCCTAGTCACAGCAATACCCAATTCCCTAAACAGTACATGGAACTGTATTTCAGTTTGAAACACTAAAGAGCTGAGCTTTTCTGTTTTAGAACATCACATATGCCTTTGTACTTGTTGATTTCATTACAGTTTTCATTGAGCTAGCTGACTAATAATTTCTAATCCTTAGAAGGAATTAAAAAAAAAAAAAAGGATTCGGTTGCTGGTTCTGCTGTTGCTGTTCCCAGATTCTTCCCAGTTTTCATTGTTCAGTCTCCATGTATAATCATTCTGTTTGTGAAATAAAAAAAAAAATCACGTTTTCTTTATTGTCTTACTGCACAAATAATATTTTAATATTAAACCCAAAATAAGTTCAATAAATATACTTTAGAGGGAGTCATATGAAGAGTTTTTCTTTCCAACTGGACAATCTGTTAAACTATGCTCTGTTTCCCATGCTCTCAGTGTAGTTCTTGCCTGAGAAAAACCTTTATGATTTTTTTCTCTATTATGGCAGAATATTTGCAAGTCGAATTCTATATTCCAGCTTTCCCAAAACTTGCATGCAGAGATATATTTTATTAATGATTTTTTTTACCTTAAGTGTAAAGTTAAAACATAGTTCTCAGTCAAAGACTAGAAGAAAACAAACATTCGTTTTATTGTTTCATTTTTTCAGAAACAGGTGGAAGCAACTGCAGAAAGACCGAAGAACCAAAGTAGAATGAATTCAGATGTCTGTGTTTCTTCTCTGCTCAGTAGCTGAGTCAAGTTTCAGATCTTTTCTCCTGAGGTAGTTAGAGACCTTTTGCCCATATTAGAGGTTGTAGATATGGATGCAATTTCAAGCAGAGAAAATGAGATCTTATAACTCAAATAACATTTCCTGTTATTTGAGTAGTAAAACAGAAAAAGCTGTTCTTCACCTTTACAGTCCTTTAATATGCAGTCCTCCGTACTAGAAGTTTTGAAAGGTGTTTTCATAAAATTCATTAGTCAATGTGGTCCTCCTATATTTCCATAAATCTTGTTGTGTGCAGTAGTTAAAAAATACACTTTACTATTTTAATTTAATTCTCACTTAGAGTTTGTTCCACAATAGGCTTTATCTTGCTACTCAACCTACCTTTCATGGTATAGCTTCACCATTTTAAGTATCTCAGTTTTAAACATCTTTGCTTTGGGCTTGTTTTGACAGATTTTATATAAATAATAAACCTTGTTCTGTCACGGTATCAAGATATTAATTCCTCTTTACTTACCGGTACAGTTCTCAACTTTGGATAGTTTAAAATTACTAAAATAAGCCAGTCATGATATAATACAAAATAATCTTTTTTTCACTTTCCTTCGTACTTTCAGAAGCAGCCTTGAACAACTCTGGCACCTGCAAAAAACACTGAGTGGCAGTCAAGTATACTGATACAGTTTCGTCACACAGTTTCAGTGTGATTTGTGCAAAGTCATGCTGTGGAGGAAAAAATCACCAGACCTGAAAACTACTTGAATTTATCCTTTTTTTCAAGGTTCAGTGCATTTTCTAACCTCTGTTCTCTTGTTTTCAAAGCTGCAGTGAACAAGAAATGAGCTTGTTTGAGTCTAAAAAGTCAGTGTGCTACTGACTATGCTCATATTAATTGATTACCTAAAAGCCAAAACACATCCAAACAGTACACACCGAGAAAATAACACATTCCAGTAAAAGTTATAGATGAACCCCAAATTTAGGTGCACCCAAAATTAAGTATTTACTGTATTTCCATATTTACAGCTTCACAGAGAAACAGGCTGAGAGCTGATGCAGTACAGGGAGTTGGCCATCATGGAATCAGAAGGGAGATTATTGGGAAAGTTGTGACCCTAGCTACCATCTGAAAGACCCCACATGCACTCTTGTGGAGTCGGTCCTAAGTCTTACTGACGAGAAGAATTTGTGAATCTGTATTCATGAAAACACAGTCCTTTGATTTTCAACGTCTTTTTAAAGTATATTTGTAAGAGGATCAGACAGATAAGAAGTCTTTTCCTTTTTTTTTTTTAATTCAGGGGGCTGCCGGCATTGCACTGCCCGAGACAAGACTTAACGCAGGCATGGACCTTCTGCTTTTCCTGTAACACACAAGAGGGAGCGCTTGGTCACCACAACTTTCATAGAACCATAGAGTCACAGAACGGTTTGGCTTGAATGGCAACTTTAAAGGTCATTTAGTCCACCCCCTGGCATTAAGCATCTTCAACTTAATCCGGTTGCTCGGAGCCCTGTCCAACCTGACCTTGAGTGTTTCCAGAGATGGGGCACCTCCCAGTTCTCTAGACAACCTGTACCAGTGTTTCACCGCCTTCATTGTAAAAATCTTCTTTCTTATTTATAATCTAAACGTACCCTCTTTCAGTTTAAAATCATTACCCCTTTCCTTCGCTCTTCTCAGTTTTTGGTTAAAGTATGTTCTGTGCCTAGGTTTTTCTTACTTTAAAATGAACTCTTTCAATTCAGTGATAAATGGGCATCAGAAAGCTAAAAAAGTTTAAAGTAAAATAGTGGCAGTCTCAACCTTACATTATGTTGACATAGCTCAACTGAATGAGCTGCAACACCCAAGGCTTCCACATCGGTTAGGCTTACAGTTCAGCAGGGAAGCCACACTTCAGATTCCAGGACTCTCCAGCAGTGGGGCTTACAAGCACTTCTGAGCGGGGAGCTGCAAAAGCTGCTCCATAGGAAATGAAGAAATGTTACTCCATGGGAAATGTCTGATATTTCTGTATTCTGTGTTCTGACATCCATGGCAAATGTAACCTGCTCTCAGTGATCTCATCTTTGGTTAACATCAACAGCTTCCAATCCTCTCCAGAGACAGGTGCCTTCATCAGCCCTGTTACACAGCATACAGTGCTGGGGTGAGGCAGTAGGACTATCCCAATGGTTTCAGTTTCATTAGGACTTAGAGCGCTCAGGGTATGTGAAAGACCAGTTCCTGTCTGTTTTCTGTCTAAAAAACAGACTGGACTTCAGTGGACTTTGTGATGAGGAGAGATCGGGGAGGGGTGAAAAACCCCAGGAAGAAACAGGCAGTGAAAGGCTGACTGCACTGAAGTAGATAGGAAACTCAAAGGATGTCCTGGCCAGATTTTACATGAAGAATCTGAAGATTCCAGACATCCTTCTGAAAGCACTCTTCTCAATGGCTCACCTTTTGTTTTCGTTTATTTTTTTTTTCCGAAGTCATGGCTGAATTTTGATAATCCTTTTACACTTTACCTAATTAAAGAAAGACTTGTTCTTTCATATGTGCAGTTTTATTCACTTAGATTTATGGTACTTACAATATGCTATAAAACATCCATGCTGATTTTGGCTGTGATGGAGTTAATTTTCTTCACAGTATCTAGTATGGGGATGGGTTTGGGACTTGTCCTGGAAACTGCGTTGATAATTCAGGAATTTTTTCCTTGCCGCTGAGCAGTACTTATGCAACGCCAAGGCCTTTTCTGCTCTTCACTCCACCCCAGCAGCAAATGGATTGGGGGCGCACAAGGAGCTGGGAAGGGGACACAGCCAGAGCAGCCACCCCAGCTGACCCAAGGGATATTCCATACTATATGATGTCATGCTCAGCTTATAAAGCTGGGGGATGAAGAAGGAAGAGAGGGATATTTGGAGAGAGAGCATTTGTAGTCCCAAGTCACCCTTATCCATGATGAAGCTTGGCTTTCCTGGAGCTGGCTGAACACCTGCCTGCCCATGGGAAGGAGTGAATTATTTCCTTGTTTTGCTTTGCTTGCATGTGTGGCTTTTGCTTTGCCTATTAGACTGTCTGTACCTCAAGACACAAGTTTTCTCGCTTTTACCCTTCCAATTCTCTCCCTTATCCCACTTGGGGGGAGGAAACAAGCGGCTGCAGGGGGCTGAGTGGCCACTTGGGGTTAAACCATGACAACACTTACTATCTTTTCACTTATATGTAGTTGGTCTAATAAAATACATTGCTCTCTACAGAAACTGTTTCAAAGCATTTTAAACAATATTCTTGCTTCCTAATAATGGACATGTTTTAAAGGCCAAGAACACAGTAATGAAAAAAATAATTCTATGTATTTTATATATTCCTCTTTAAAAAAACAGGCAGGGGAGACGAGGAGGAGGTGTCACCTTCTATGTCAATTACCAGTTGGAGTGCATGGAGCTCTGCCTGGGGATGGATGAGGAGCTGACTGAGAGCTTGTGGGTCAGGATTAAAGGGAGGGTAGGGACAGGTGACATGAGTCATCTATAGACAGATAGGAATGACCTCGTGATCACAAGCCCTGCACCTCATGGGGGACTTCAACCACCCCAATATTCAACCACCCCAATATCTGTTGGAAGGACAACACAGCCAGGAATTAAACAACCCAAGAGGTTCCTGGAATGCTTTCATGATAATTTTCTTCTCCAAGTGATAGAGAAGCCAGCAAGGAGAGTTGCTGTGCTGGACCTTGTTCTCACCAACAAGGAGGGGCTGGTGGGGGATGTGATGCTCAAGGACAGCCTTGGCTGCAGTGACCATGAAATTGTGAAATTTGAGATCCTTAGGGCAGCAAGGAGGGAGCTCAGCAAGCTCGCTACTGTGGACTTCAGGAGAGCTGGCTTGGCCTCTTCAGAGACCTGCTTGTTAGAGTGCCATGGGTTAAAGCCCTGGAAGGAAGAAGGGTCCAGAAAAACTGTTTAGTATTCAAGGTTCCCCTCCTTCAGGCTCAGGAATGATGCATTCCAAAGAAGAGGATGTCAGGCAAAAATGTCAGGAGGCCTGCATGGATGAACATGGAGCTCCCAGACAAACTCAAACACTAAAAGGAAGCCTACAGAGGATTGGAGCAAGGACAGGTAGCCTGGGAATAATACAGATGAATTGTCCAAGTATCCAGGGATTAGATTAGGAAAGCTAAATCCCTGACAGAATTAAATCTCTCCAGGGACATCAAGGGCAACAAAAAAAGCCTCTATAGGTACACTAGTGATAATAGGAAGACTAGAGAAAATAAGAGCCATCTCCAGAAGGAAACAGTAGATCTAGTTAGCAAGGAGATGGAGAAGGCTACGGTACTCAATGACTTTTTTGCGTCTTTCTTCACCAGTAAGTTCTCCAATCACACCACCCAAATTGTAGAATGTAAAGGCAAGGATTGGGAGAATGAAGAGTCACACTATAGGAGAAGATCAAGAACATCTAAGGAAACCTCAAGCTGCATAAATATGTGGGACCCAATCAGATGCTTATTTGGGTCCTGAGGGAACTGATGAAGGAAGTAGCTAAGCCACTATCCATCATATTTGAGAAGTCATGGCAGTCCAGTGAAGTTCCCACTGCCTGGAAAAGGGGAAATATAACCCCTGTTTTAAAAAAGGAAACTAAGGAAGGGAAGTAAGAAAGGTCCAGGGAACTACAGGCCACTCAGCCTTACCTCAGTGCCTGGCAAAACCACGGAGCTGATCCTCCTGGAAACTATGCTAAGGCTCACAGAAAATACCGAGCTGATTGGTGACAGGCTTCACTGATGACAAATCATGCCTGACAAATTTGGTGGCCTTCTATGACAGGATTACAGAGACTGGATGAAGAAAGAGTGACTGACCTCATCTACCTGGACTCGTGCAAGGCATTTGACACTGTCCCACACAACATCCTTGTCTTTAAACCAGAGAGACACGGACTTGACATCTGGACCACTCGATGGATATGGAAAAAACTGGAAGCTCACACTCAGAAAGTTGCAGCAGCTCCATGTCCAAGTGGAGACCATTGATGAGAGGCTTCCTCAGGGAACCTTGGGACTGGTGCTGCTAAATATCTTTGTCAGTGACATGGGCAGTGGGATGGAGTGCACCCTCAGCAAGTTCACTGATGACACAAGGCTGTGTGGTGCCATCAACATGCTGGAGGGAAGGGATGACGCTGGAGGGACCTGGACAGGCCTGAGGGGTGGGTCTGAGTGAACCTCATGAAGTTCAGCAAGGTCAAGTACAACATCCTGCACCTGGGTCTCGGCAGTCCTGAGCAGAACTACAGTCTGGGCAGAGAATGGACCAAGAGCAGCCCTAGTGTGAAAGAATTGGGGTTGTTGGTGGATGAGAAGCTGGACATGAGTGGACAGTGGGCGCTCACAGCCCAGAAAATCCAACCCCATCCTGGGCTGCGTCAAAAGCTGTGTGGCCAGCAGGTCAGGGGATGTGATTCTGTCCCTCTACCCCCTTCTGTCCCTGAGACCCTACCTGGGTTGTCATAGCCAACACAGGAACGGTGTTGTTAATAACTTGAGAAGCAAATAATCAGGTTCACCATGAATCAGCTGGAGTTCTGTTTTGTGGCTTTTCTCGCTTGTTCAGTATGCTTTGGTGCTTTTAAGATATTTGAGATATTGATACATTCATGTATTCTTACAGAAAATAGAAGCATCTGGAAAAGCAATATATTGTCAAGGTATTTAAAAATGGGAATCCAAGGCTGGATGTGGCAATTTGTAACAGATTAAGTCTAGGCAAAGGTCACCCATTAAACAATTTCAGGATAAAAAAAACAAGTAGCAGTGTGGAGAGGGAGAGTCAGAGGCAGATGGATTTCTTGAAGTGAGATAATGATGGAAAAAACAAGTTTAAGGAAGAAAGCCAACATCTTAGGTGGAATTGAAAATAATAACAACAAACCTGCTATCCAGGAGCTTGTAGCTGTTGTAAAATTTCCTTGCCATTCTGTGGAAGAGACATGAATGTACATTTTGGGACTTACAGTTAGATTAAGAAATATGGAAACTCTTTGTAGTCCTCACTCCTCTCTTTTTAGCTGGAAAAGCAGCAAAGGATCTGTAAAGTGCATATTGCAGCAAAAGTCACATACAATTTTATACAATTCATCAAAACATTCAACAAAAGCCACTGTTAGGTGAAGGCTGGCTAGAAATGCTTTGAACTTGGGTGAGAAGTGATGACAGCTATTAACTAACAAACAGGAGTGGTTGTCTACCATTGTCACTAATAAAATGAAAGGCAGACACTCCTTTCAACAGTTACACAAAATGCTCCACGAACGTTATGCTGATATGAGTGCATCCAAAAAAATCTTGGTTCTAAAGCATGTCTCAGTCTGTAGACTTGTGCAAAGACATTGCAGATACTGACTTCTGGAAGTGGTAACAAGAGAAGTGGAAAAGGAGCAGGAAAGCCCACAAAATTATTTGGTCCCTTGCATGTCCACAAAAAGATGAGGAATGTGCTGACTATTTTAGAGCACAGAGTAACCTTGGATTTCATATGATGAAATTATGATTGTGACAGAAAATAAGCTGTTGAATCATGTGTTCCTTTTTCAGAAAGAAAAATTTAATCTTTAAACACCATTTTTTCACCCATTTGTATAGAAAAATAAGTGAAGGATTAATTAATTAAGAGACAAGAGAATACAATATGCCTCCCTGATTTGTTCCACAATTAGTCTGCATAAAGAAATATAAACCTAAGAACAATTTTATCTGCATTTAAATCTAAAGCCTAATGTGATGTAAATCTCAGCGAATGTGCTAGCACAAGGCTGACGATGAAGAATCTCTGCACAGAACACAGTCTTTCAGAAAATGGTTCTCTGTACTACAAATTGGCTCAGACTAGAAAACTCAAAAAAAAAAATCTTACCACAGACACACAGAGGTTTCTCAGTGCAGATTGCTCAAGAGTTTGGGCTGGAAGCCTGGAGTCAAAACTGAACAAAAACCTGTCTGCTAAAGAAGAATTCACTTCCAGCAACCCCTGTTCCACGATGGAAAAGCTCTGCCAGCCACATGAGGCACAGCAGGAAGAAGAAAAGAATTCAAAAGGAGACTTGGCTTTGTACCTATTGCAGCCTTAATCATCCTTTTTGGACAGAATTCAGCTGTCAGCCATGTGGAAGACAAACACCTGTGAGGAAGTACAGAAACATATGATATTAGGGGTGATATTACAAGCAGCATCTGCTGCTTGTCTCCCATTCTGTTAGAATAAAACAGTAATGCAAGTCCTGTCATAAAAACTAATGCATTAGGATGAATGAGGACATCCACCAGGCAACTGAGGCAAAATTTTTTTTGAAAGAAAGAAGTAACAAGGATGATGTCATGCTTTTATGGATTGACTGTTGTTGTTGCCATTCTTTACTGTATCTTGGACACAGGGAAATAGTAACACTGGTGGACAGTAAAACCTGCTCTTTCTTCCTCTTAAGGTTTCTATTCCAGACTCATATTTTCTGTTTCCACTTCCTGTAATTTCTAGGGTTATCCTCTCATCTGGCTCTTGTAAAGGTATTTTCAAAATATTTGCTTAAATAATCCATCTAACTTGCAGCATTTGTTATTTTTTTTTATAAAGGATTCTGTAAAGCCCATGGGACTTATGACAATTGTGTAAGACAGGTAGCTATCACTAAGTTAATAGATAACCAGGTTTTATACCAGTATGGACTATGAAACCAGAGAGAACTCCATGCCTATGTTTTGAATTACGTACGGAAACCTTTGATGCTGCCTGGTACTTAATCACAGACTTGGAAAGATGATATGTTTGTGCCAGTCTGTAAAATTATACGTATAGCCATGGCTGCCTTCAAAAGATTCTTCTAGTGACTTGATAATTTTACAACATACTTTGTGTCCCAGAAGCTCATAGGTTCTTTCAGTGGAAAGGGTTAATTTGTTTTGTTAGCGAAAGTGGCAAACAGATAATCTAACCAACTTTGTCTGCTGTGATACGAGCATTTTAAAGCAGATAGGGGAGAATTTTAAAGTGGCTGGAGGAGGGAAGCAAGACCAAGGATGTAAGGGTTTGCTTCAAATTAGATTAGCTTATGGGTGGAAGAAGAAAGGTTAGGATACTATTGAAGATGAGGTGGTAGCAAAAGTCAGTTTGGTAGGACAGGTATTTATTTATTCTACATTCTTGAATGCTTATAGATCTTTTTGGTACCAGGGACTGCAGTTCTTCATTTTTCAGCTTTTACAAGTTAGGATATTGTGACACATCTTCAATACAAAGGTAAGATAAACTGAATCTGTCTATGTTGTAACAAGTATGTAATAATTAAATTTGTATACAGAAATAAAAAGAAAGTTCTGGATTATTGTTATAACATGGTTTAAACTTGCCTACTAACTTACCAAAGTACCAGCAGGATTTTGACAAGGATTTTTTCTACATTAGATGAAACTGAAAGCTGATGTCAAGAAACATTACAGAGAAAATAAAGAATTTCAAGGGATTCATTTAGAATACCACTTCCATTTTTGAAAGTCACATGCAGCTGCATTTTAATTCCAGAGGACTTTAAAAATTGTACCTATATTGTACTGCAAAATATTGATGTTGGTATTAAAGAATTTTGTAAAATAAAGGTGTAAGGAGCTTCCAATGAGTTCGTATGCTTTTTTTTTTCCCCTGGAATTTGGTTACTTATAGTATATATTCTTCTCATTTTTCTAGGTTAGAATTTATGTTTCTGGGTTGACATTATTACTAACTGGTGAAGACTTTAAATTGTAGGGTTGTATCTGCAAAAATTATAGTAATCATCATTACTGCAGTCTGCAAGTCTGGACACCAATGCATGTGGTTCTGGTGACAAAGAGAATAAGTAGAATCCTTCATTCACAAATGAATTTGCATTTGTACATTTTTAACATACTAGGGACTGCAAAAAGTAAGAGAAAATGAGAAAACAAGAAGCCTCTGTTTCCTTCCTTGAAGGAAAGCATCTTTCTTGACGTAGCTTTAGGCTTGGACAAACAATAAAAATAAAACTGAGACTGTGAGTAATATTTTTATAACAATTAGAGAAGGAACATTTATAAAATTACTCATTCCCCCCCCCATATATATGTGCTTTTCCTTTTCAAAGGTATTGCTATGTCTCTGTAGATCGTCGATAGTTGTTGATCATTCTTAATTTAGTGTGTATGTCAAAGGATGGATTTGCACTTCCTCCTTATGCTCATCTATTCAGGATGTTTGTCATAACTAAAGGATGATAGTCCTCAACAAGACTTTTTTATTTTATCAGTGTTACACAGAGAATAGAGGAAAATCCTTAATCCTGAAATCATCTGTCTGAGAAAATAAAGGAATACAGGTGGAGAAAATGAACTTTTTTTTTCTTTAGAAATAGCTAATTCTTTCACTGTAAGGTCAATTCCTCCCAGTCCAAAAGGATCATGCACTTGAGTGTGGAGATAGCTAAAGTTTACTGTGGATTGATACATGATACCTGTAATGCGGCTGAACATCTGTGCACCTGCACAAGTCACCCAACTGAGGGCCTCACATTCTGTCCTCTCTTACTTTTACAATAGGGCACAAATGTTACAAGTCAGCACATTTCTTGGAGAGCAAAAAGGTGAACCAGATAAGTAGGTGGCATGTCACTGGGACAAGAACGTGATATATTCAGGTGGAGGATAGTGGCCTCTCAAAAGTGAAGGTGTCTTTATCGTGTTTTCGTATCAGGTTTTTAAGTTACACATTTATACAACTAGTCATTTGCCACACTGATTAAAATAGGAAGCATATGCAGTTATGTAATGGGACATTTGTGGTTGCAATTGCTAGGTCATTTGCGTCTGTGCCAAACTGAGAAGGTTTATGCTTGCTTTGCAAAATGGAAATACTAATGAAGATCTGGGAGATGGATGTAATCAGACATTGTGACTTTGGGTAAAGGAGGATCCTGCATTGCTCATTTCTAATAAAACTAAGTGACCTGGAGCAGTGATTTTATAGACTGGTGTGCTTAAATAAGATGTCTTTTAACTTGTTCTGTAGTATACCAAAAAGCCCAAAAGAATGATTCAGCAAGCTGTGGGTGAAATCAGTTCATTGGGGCTACAAAGCGGGAGTTAACAGCATTGCAGGGATAGATTGGAGAACAGCACTGAGACTCAGGCTTGCTAAGAGCCTTAACTGAAACTTTGTTTTATCTATTTGTCAAATGAAGGGTCACCTGTATTATAATTTCACCTCTACCAGCCAATTAACGTCAAAGAAAAGGGTTTTGTAGCCCGTTAGATTACATTGTTTACCTTCTACTTAAGAAAATACACAAGTAATACACAGGTAAAATTGAAGAGAGTTTTTCCTTCCTTCTCTTTTCTCCTTCTCAATCCTGAAAGTGAAGAACACTAGATCTTTGTGTCCTAGAGCAGCAGGCTTGAGGGAAGCTGCAAAGTTTGTTTGCAAATTAGCTAAAATTCTGCATTGTTTCACTTTAGAAATTAAGAACCTCTTTACTTTGTGAGTCCTGAGCATGAAAAACAAAAGAAGTAGTGAGTTCACAATAGGAAAGAACAAAAATTGGTTTTGGAAGAGCAAAGTAAGCTTTGGTAGGTTATTTAAAATGTTGGAGGTGAGGGGCGTGGAGTTGTTTGTTTGTTTGAATAATTGTTATTTGTCTTCAGTGATGAATTATCATAAGAAAAATCTCAGAGGGGACACAAACACTTATCTTTATTGTGTCTCTGCTTAGGAAGTCACAGTGATGTCCCTTTACTTCTGAGTAGTTGCTGAGCAAGCTCCCACACTCCGTGTTTATATGTTACAGTTTCAGAGTGTAATAAAAAACATCCTTCCATTCCCATTTAAAACCTCTCTAAAAATTAATTTTCTGACCCCTTCTGCAGCCATATGGATCCAATGTCATCCAGCAGTTATTGCCTTATGGTACTCCAGATGCACTGAATGTGTCCACACAGAAACAACCTTCCAAATTGCTGGTGATCCGGACAACAGCCGTTTTCCCCAGCTGAAACTCTGTTTTGTATCATCTGTGTCCAACGAAATACTGGGCTGTTATGCACAAAGCATGCATTTATGCTGATTAAGCACCTTTTTTTAGTGAGCAGGTTATGCACAATCAAGCGTATTTGACTCAAATACAGAAGCATAAATTGGTTTACTCAGTTAAAAGCTTTGATCTGGCAGCTAGAGATAATAGGTGGAGCTTAAGGAATCCACAGTGTTTATGAATCCTGATTTTTGGCCTGTAAAGCAGCATGCTGAGAGTAGGCAGAAATTTCTTCACTGGCACTAACAAAGCGTTGAGCTCGTGAGAGTAAGAGATGCACTATTTTTCCTAGTAACTTTGCTTCTAGGTATGGCCTTCCCTTGCTAGTCTAACATGAATAGGCTCCTGAATTATCCATATGCTACATGTTACTGCAGAATAGGAAGTATAAATGGCTGCCTTAAGACAAAACGCTAGTTACAAGCTGCAGGAGCTTCACAGATTTCACAGATTCAGTGGGATATACTCAGGAAAGGAACCTTACCTTTGTTTAAAGGGCATAAAATTTACTTTCAGATTTTCTCCATTTCAATGTATGGATAAAGCCAAAAGAAGTAGCAATTGAAAAGATTGTGTATATATTTTGAATATTCTTTTAGGATGTGCCTGCCATCTTAAGAATTGGAAGTAGTAAAAATACTGTGTTCTGTCCAAAGATTTGCTGCAGAAGTAATGATTTCTTTTACAGACCATTAACTTGAAACCAGTGCAATGATTTAGCTATAATCCTCAAAATTACTGATCAACCATTTTCACCTAGTCAGCTTTTTGCTGTAACATGAAATGAGGAAACAGTTTCTTGGATGAGATAAACAAGCAATTTGTTATCATTGTAAAATTGAAGTGTGCAATATAAGCAAAACAGCTTTTTGCATTCTGTTTTTAGCAGTTACCACCTGTCTTATTGTTTAGCTTCATCTGACCATTTCTGTATTCCTGCTTTTTGTTACTGTAAAAACCCAAAATAAATATCCTGCCAGTCCTAATTTTTTTCTAAACATTTGACATATTCACAGTTGTTACAAGAAATTTAAGTGTAGAGATTGGTTTACTTAGGTGTTTTGGCTAACAAAGGTCAAGAGGATTGGGTTA